CAGAAACTGGAAACTTCTAATTATCTGGGTGGCTTTTCCTGCTCTTCCCCATCTCCTCCCACAGAAAGATAAACAGCATAATTTCCTGCCCCTCTCTCAGCCTCTTGAAGGAGCTGGAGCATCAATGGTGTTTGCAGGAGGTCAGTACAGAGAATGTCTTGAACTTAAAAGCTGATAGCAGAGAAGACCCAGGACAACTGAAGTTCTGCAAAAATTATTAAGGGATAATTGTGATTAATGACTCCAAGGGATGCAGTTTGTGAAGAAACACAAGATGAGATGTTATCTCCTGAGGTTTCACAGTTGATGAGGTTACTGAAATAAGGGGGACACTTCGCGACTTTCTGAGCTACTGTTTACACAAATGAAGGCACTATTCAACTTATTCACAATCCATGTCTAATTTTCAACGCTCTCTTCACAACCATACCTTTCACTATTTGTTTGCCTTACCTCTCAGACACCAGTTAATACACGTTTGTTTCAGGCAATCTGAAGACACCACGTTCAAATTCACTAAGACTGATAGCCTTATTTCTGTTGATACTCACAGTAACCAAAAGCAAGGGACAATATCGGGATAAACCTTTAACAGACTTAATTTGTATCTGCACTCCAAAAAACAAACCTGAAACACTGATGAGTTTTGGATTACATTTAAGCAATCTCCCTCTCACACCCTGGCCTCCCCCTCTTTTTTTTTTTTTTTAATTCCCCTTCCACTCCAGGATCACCCCAGAACATGAATTATCTGCTTGCACTCAAACACAGAACTAGATAAAGAAAAACAACACAGTTACTGTGACTGTAAGAGCAGGGATGTGACTGTGAGAGCAGGGACATGAAGGAAAGAGAGGGCAAAACCCAGCGATGGCTATTATGGGGCAGGGAGGTAAGTCTGTGATACCACCTAAAAGACAGCCAATGCCTTCAATTTGCTACAGAGGTGACACTGGTGTCACCAGCCAGCCTGTGTGTCGTGTCCCTCCCCTTACTGAGAAGTACACCCATAGACTGACAGCTTCTATTCCCAGGTGAATGGAAGATTTTTTTATTTTTTTTTTCATAGCAGGAGACATCTGTTCAGTCTCCTGCTACAAAAATACCCAAAGAGCAATACTTCCAAAAGAGATCATTTAGATCAGCCCAGAGGTCACTTGACGGACACCGACTTTGTTCATAGACTCTTCTGCTGCATGAACCACTGCAGAACTGAGCTTTGGCACTGGATCACAGATCTGAAAAGAGACCTAGAGCACCGGACCACTTTTTGTCTTCAAGAGACTGGAGCACGGAGCGCTCTCACCCTGTTCACTGTCAGAAATCCACCCTTTTGCAACTGAAGACTCCAGCAGCATCTCTCTGCCTTCTCAGTTACATTCCATCCATCCAAACAAAGTGCACTTCATCAGTTAAAAACCACGCTTTTGAAGCAGATCAGCCAGAAGATTCTCACTCAATGCTAGTTAGACTCCTTTCATACGCCACTTTTGTTCAGTAAATAAAGAAGAGAAGTCACAAAGGTAGAAGTAACCCCAAACAAATCCATCCGATGGTGCGCGGCACCCAGGCAGGCAGACAAGAAGTGTTCCCAGGCCTGTGACAGATGGAGCAGCCCACAGGAGCACCACAGCGATACTGCAACAGAGGCCAACCTGGACAGGCTGAAAGCGGACAAACCTCTAGCAATGCACCACAAGAGCTTTAAGGCTGGGGCCAGGGTGGGAGGGTGGCACACAATCAAAACCAAGTCATGTCCCCAAACAACTCCTCCCCCCAAAACACACAAAAAGCCCACTACAGCATTATGTGTTCTGGGGGAAAAAGCAAGCAAACAAACAAACAAACCCCAACCAAACAACAACATGAGAATTAAACAAGCCAATGTGGTGCAGGCAAGAAGAAGAGAAGCACCAGGAAGTTTCTGTCACTGGAGTACAGGCCAGGATTTGTTAAGAGAAAACTCAAATGACAAACTGACCCGAGTGGTGTGTGGAATTCAAAAAACATTCAACTCTCATGCCCAAGAACGGGAATTTGTCAAGCAACGTATGCTGGCGGCACCACAACTGGCATTTGGTCATTCCGACATGTCAAGTCTGAAAAAACACGACACCGGATGCTGCAATATAAAGTGCCTGAATGATGGAACTATAAGCTCTCTGCCAAAAATAAAATAAAATGATAAATCTATTTTCAGCCTGGGAGCTACTCTGAGTTTACAGAACAGGTTCACCAGCCAAAAAAACATGGCAAAATGACAAAAAACAAGGCAGCAGGGCAAGCATTCTTTTACACGATGGGAATCATGATGGATTAGATTCAAAACAGGAGGAAGCTGGACGCTCAAGTCAATATGCTATGATGAAAATTAAGCTAGAAATACGACTTGGCATGACCAGCATATTTATGAAAAGAAAATAACACAATACGTTTGCAGTAACCCTTCAGTAACCCTAGGGCATCAATTCCTCTGCCCACCTACTAGCATCCATTATGTTCCTAATATATTACACAGCAATATTTCACTTACCAGGAAGAAGAAATAAAGGACATTATGAGAAGGTGCTCTAATAGAGTTTAAATCAAGGAAGGAATTCTAAATAAGCTTTCTGAGCTTGAAGCTACATTATAGTATCAGATTAATCTACACACCAATTTAAAACACAGCTTGCCGTAATACTTGTTTAATCTCTTCCACTCTTGTTTTTAAGACCAACTTAATAAAAAGTTTTAAAAGATGACAGTCTGTTCATGCAAGGTACTTCATTTCCCCAACTTCTGACTCAGAGAAAAAAAATCATGGTAACAAAAGAATGACACAAAGCACAGTGACAAGAAAAGAAAGGAAACACTTAAGTATGGGGACAAACGGTCATTCTCAGGGATTTAGACACCTAACTGATCAAGTCTAACTTGCCAGAAAGAATATCCTTCTTTCTCAAACACAGTGTGGAAGAAAGGCCATTTCAAGAATGCTTCCATTCCACTGCTGAGTAGCCATCTAAACTACACCACCATCCTCCCCATTCTCTCCAGTCTCAGTCGTCCAGAGGCAGGAGAGAGGGAGAGAAACCAGGTGGCAGGAGGACATGGGATCCAAACTCAGCAACAGACACACATTACTGCCTAGTGGGGACGCAGCTTATACTTTGTCATGACAAAGCTTCCTCTTCACACAGAGCAGCGCATAGGAAAAGAGGAGGAAGAGGTCAAAACAACAAGACACACGGAGCTGATCTAAAGATCACTGCTGCCAAAGGATGGAGGAGAAAACACCTCTAAGACATTCATTCCTTCCCACAGCCAAGTGCTCCGAAAAGACTGAAACTTGCCTAAGCCTTCACTAGCAATTCAAATTACTAACTTGGCAGAAAACAAGCAAGTTGGAATTAGCAAGTTGCCTTAGCTCACCACGTGGTCAGACAAAACCAGAACACAGGCAAAGAAAAGGACACAACAGAGGTTAGGAACAGGAACTCCACGTTCAGTGGAGTTCGAACGCTAGAAAGTTGTTAGGACAACTCAAATGTGATATGGTCACCTTACACTCCCAAGTGCTGAGGTACAAGCTTAAAAATATCCAGCTACCACTTCAGCCTAACCTATGGAAGGAGGACAGGTGTCTTCATCCCATTCTTTCTGTGCTTCATGCTTCCTATATGGTACAGTACAAGCATTGAGGCATTGGGGGTTTTTTGTTTGTTTTGTTGTTTTTTGTTTTGTTTTTTGTTTTTTTTTTTTTAAATTCAGATTGCTCTTTCTGCCTATCCTGCACACCTCTCCCAGTACATTTTGATGATTACCATTGTTTAGGACAGCAGAATACTAAGCACAAGCGTTCTCATACAGCGCCCTTCATCCAAGTCACTTACCCCCTCCTCCACTGTTCCATCACAACATAAGCTCCCTTCATTCTTTCTCTTACTTTAAGAAAAGACTTAAAATTCATGCCTCCAAAACAAAAAACCACCACTCTACCACTTCCCCACTGGTATGCAACTGCATCATGGAAATTCACAAATTGTTTCCAAGCTACATAAAAATTCCTACCTCTGCAAGTGCATCCTGAGGCCAATACCTATCTGCACAAGCAATCAATGCATTATCCAAACCAGATAGCCACAACTTAAAAATAGCAAGCAGTCCCAGAGTACCAGCCTCAAATCATGCTTGGTTGTCAAAAGAGCCTTTAACACAGATTTAATGCTCACTCTTTAACTCGGGCTACGTCCCTTTAGCTACCAGTTGCCAAAGGTTTATTTGGAGCTGCTCTGTTTTTACCTTAGTTTGGGCTGTACTGCTGTAGCAACTATCCTTAGAGTGAAAGGAACAAAAATTATCACAAACAACATACACAAGTAAAATAAGAAAAAATATTTGCTCGTTAGAGTTTTATAGTATCTGGTATGCATAGTACTTACTTGGTGCATTCTTCTAAAGACTGTACAAGCATTTGCTGGAAAGAACTTATTTCTTCCAGGTTTCCCATTAAGTATGAAGTATTTGCCGAGTTTAACCTGGAGTAAAAATAAATAAAAGGTTTGCAGTTATTGACTAATCATGCTTTAATAAAACCCACAACCTTAACTGAAAATGCCTACTGGTTCTTAGCTCAAGGACCAGACTGTTTCAGTCAGCAAGCAAACTGAATAAAAGCAAGCCCTGCCTCAAAAATCTCACAGTCCACACAAGAAAGTACACATTGACATTGAAATTTCAACCATGTAAACCCTCCCCAATACAAGAGAGATCGCAAGCTTAATTTAAAAACAAACCAAAACAAACTCACATACTTTTCACTGGCTTGTAATGGTCGCAGGTAGTTTGAAAGCATTGTTTGTAGCTCCTTAGCATATTCGTTTTCTGTTTCTAATATATTTTGTAGCACCTACAATAAATGACAGTTGCTAATTGGTATTTTTTAAGAGATACTTCAAAATGTTCAAATCAATACCAGTTTTAAAGCATACTAAAATTTACTTAGCACTAGGAAAATTTAAATGAGTGTTCCTACATTAAAAATTTAAGTATCAGCAAGAAAACACTGAATACATTGAATACATCTATGAAATTCACAGGAAAAAACCCACCACACACACACGATGAGCCATCCTTTAGCCATATACAAAAGAATTGATAAACTAACAGGAATTTCGCTCCATTTAAAACTTTCACTGTAAAATTTGAGAGCTACACAGAGCGTTCTTCCAAAGCTAGGGGTAATTATTCCTCTTATGTACTTCAGAACAGTCAAAGATCATCAGAGGTTGGTAAAGCACAATAGAAGTCCTAAGAGAAATGAACAATTAGTGTCGTTTTCTTGGTCTCGATTACAACACATTACAACTAATCTTGCTCGCAAAGTGTTTACTTATTCAGATGCGCTGCTCTATCTAGAAGGTCTGAATATTAACAGGTTTATAAATATCAAGTAATTGACAACTTTACTTTGCGATGTGATTAGCATTATTGCATTCTTTTTAAGGGGGGCTGCCTAATTTTCCACTGGGAGTGCAATAATACACACTACCATGGGAAAATTACAACAGATTGTGATGCAAAGTCAGGAATTTAAAAAATACAGCGCACACTTGTTTTTTGGCTGCATGTAAGTCAAACAACTGAAATACTCCCAAATATGTACAAGAAAGCATTTTACTGGGCCATCTCCTGTGAGTCTGCTTTAGGATATCCTCCAATACAGCCACACCAAGTTCTACTGTGCTTCTATAGCAGGTGAATTATTTTTTGCCTCCAAAAAGTTGATAATTTAGCAAGAGAATCATCAGAATTAAATGCAGTTCAATGAACACAACTGAGCTTTGAAAACTTTCTGCTATTCACTGGTCATAAGCCACACCACAAACCTTCTCATTTTGGTACATGCCATATTTGTCAAGCCTACAGTAATATCTCATTTCAGCATTTATAGTAACTACTGTAATTGAGTGCATTATTCGCTGTTGTAGTCAATACTCTTTCTTAGAAAATAAAAAAAGCCATTCATTCCTAAATGCAAACCTGATGAAATAACTTTAAATAGTTCAGTATGTCAATGAAGAATTCACTGTTCCTTTCATTGGTGTCATTGATTCTGCTTACTCCTTGAATGCTTCTATTCATTTGGAGGGAGAGACCACTTTTGAGTTCATTCTTTTGTTGGAAATCTGAATCCTGAACTGAAGATTAAAATGTCTCCATTCTCTGCTAAACACTATGACAGAAGAATGTCACGGGGAAAGTTATGGCTACTAACTATGAAACTAGAGCATAAAGTACAACATGGGCACACAAATTTTAAAAAAGCTAAGGTTTTTTTGACCACTTAGACCAGAAAAGAAAAAAAAAAATTCCACTGATCATAGCACTAATTAAACCCCACATTCTCTTACAGACATATAAAACAAAGTCAGTCCGTTGTTAAAATGGAAATGTAAAAGTACTGAGGATCCACGAGGTTCAAAACTAAATGCAAGACCAATCTTTTCCAATATGGCTTTTCCGACAAAAAAAAACCCAAAAAACAAACCAAACTCCCAGCCTAAAGTCATTACACAGCCATTAGTGAGGAAAAGGAGACCGAAAGCCAAGGACAAAAACACAGTGTCCTGATGAAGCACTGAACAGCACTAAAAGACATTCCAAGATAAAAATCAACAAATTCGCTAGAGATCTTTAAAGGCTGCACCACTGCTCCACTTTCTCAAAGAGTATTTCCATTCTTTGCTATAAACAGCTGTCTGAAAAGCTTGAAGTAAAAGTAGTTTCATGTTGGACACAACTCCATTATTTTCCTGTGCTGGTTTGGATTTTTATTTAAGGATTTTCTTTGGAATATGGAGAATATGCGATTGGAGGAAAAAGACTTAAAGGAAGAAAAAGAAAAGGGAATGCTTAAAAACTAGAATTAGCAGCCTGATAAATTACTGGAAAAAGGAAAATAAATGCAACTGTAAATAAAGCTATGCTACAAAACCTATGCAGAGTACTAGATACACTTATACTGCTTTATATTATTCTAGTAGTTCACAGTGTTACACAATACTTTAGATATACACAGTTGTAAACACTTCCCAAAACACATTAAATCTCTTTTTTTTTTTCTTACAAGTACAGTTTCCACTGCATGCAACATTCTTTTACTTTTAATATCTTTTAAAAAGAATAATCTTGCTTACATAGCTCTAACACACCAGTTCTGTGAAATCTCGCATCCTTCCAGCTTGACTTACCTACCTCACGGAGAAGCTATGAGGATTAAATGCTTGGACTGTGCTTTGAAGCGGTAAGTAGTCAGTATTGCAACTCAGTATTTTGGCACCAGAGCACCCTTACATTCCTCACATCCACATCTCACCCGCATGCTCTAATAATCACCTTTCTTCCCTTTCCTGCTTTCTGTGCGTTCTGGCTGCTGCAAGACCCCATGAGACCTCGAAGACCTTGCTTCCACAGCTCCACCACAACATTTGCACAGATAAGACTGGGTACCAAAAGAGCAGCATTGAAGTGGCAGCTTTTACAATCCGTAACACTGATGAATGGCAGGCACAGACAACTGAGCTTATACAACACAAGCTCTCTCAATCACACGGCATGGAAAATTCAAGCATGGTTAACAATTCTGTCACACAAAACCCCAGCCATCTCCCTAAGGCAAAAACCACCACCCAAAAACCAGATTTTAAGTGACCGACATGAAGCTGATCACCTTCCAGATCAGAGGAAGAAAAGGCAGATTTCACAGCTACACTTGGGCATGATCCTGTAGCACATTCCCATTTTATGGGAGTAGTATGGCATACAACTGAAATACCACGTACTTCAGCAAAATGGTGATCAATGCCTAATTTTCCTGGATCACGAGAATCTGAGAGATGAACCCCTTAAAACAGGCCCTTGAGAGGGGCAATGTAAAGCACCACACAAGTATACCATATCTCAAGGGTCCTTAAAAACTTTTATTAACTTCAGTAAACACAAACTCTTGACCCAACTTCAGAAGTGTGGCCTCAAAAGGAGTGCTTATTTTCCATCACTTCTCAAACACTTAAACGAAAAATGAGGTCATCCAAATACTCATACTATGGAGAAAGTTGCCCATATCTTTACGGGCTTTTAGAACAGCTACTCAATCTCAAGACAATTGTCCTGTAAGCAGAGATAACCTAATTTTATTTTGGACACAAAGTTTTAAATTCTCAAGGGATTAACAAGTAAAAATAAAACTCAGAGTAGCTCCTGTTCTGTCTTCAGGAAATAACCTGCAATAATATGCCCACTTCTTCAGTAACAGGTTACTAAATTACTTCTACATGAAAAAAAACTTCATGCTTGATCACAAGTCTGGTTCATATTACACACTGCTGTAGACTTGTACCATTTTATGAAGGACAAGACCTTGTAGCACTAGTCATTCTCTACTAACCTGCATTCCCGAGCCAGGCAAAATGTAAGCATAAACGAAATTTGCTGTCTTCTCAGCAACACCTAGCGCAAGGTGCAGCTAATAAAGCACAGCGAGACTAGAAGGTATGCGATTTGTGTTATGAACTTCAGATGGAGCTCTGTGAATCCATAAAAATAAATACGACCTTTACAAGAAGGTGAAGAACAAAAGAGGTGAAAGCAGTCTCCTCTTTACATTAAGCACCCTTCCCTTAGCCTGTCCTAGCCCTTCTCCCAGAAAGGGAGACGAGCAGAGCCTCTCCTACCGCTTTCTGAACTTCCTCTGAACTGCCTTTTGATTTTGTCCTCAGTCTGACGAATGTACCCACAAAAATGTACTGCACAAATCCTTCCCTAGGAAAAACAGCAATAAATAATCATGAGGTTTACAGAGTCTCAGCACGTACCTGTAAGGTGGAAGATAGCCACAATTTAAAAACAGCACACAGTGCTTGAGCACCAGCCTCAAATCATGCTTGGTTGTCAAAAGAGCCTTTAACACAGATTTAATGCTTACTTTAACTTGGGCTATGTCCTTTTAGCTACTAGTTGCCAAAGGTTTATTTGGAGCTGTTCTGGTTTTACCTTAGCATGGGCTCAATTTTATTATCAGTGCAGACCAATGATAAGACTTCAGGCACAGGGAAGTCCCGTGTCTGCAGCTTATGTATAAAGACAGAACAAAAACTCAACTCACAGGCTAAACTGCTTTCACTTCAGTGAATGGGTTTGCTGTGTATCTTACCTACATGTAAAAATCATTACATATTTAATAATTACTAAAAATAATTATTTTATAGTTATATTGCCATTGGAAGCACTCAGTATTTTTCAAGAAAACCTAGATGCTAGTTAGCTTAATTTAGGTTTTAAAGCATAGCAGTAAAGTCATACTTCTCTGAAACAAAGTGCATGCTGCAGCACAGCCTCTCATTTTTTAAGCTTACCATTTTATTCTTTTTGTTTAAAAAAAAAAAGTAGAGGTGTTTTTTCCACAGTGTGGCAAAATGTGAAAACAAGACAATTATCCAATTCACTGCAGACAGATTTAAGAGCAGCACTCTAGGGCCAGTGCTCTAATTTACTATATATGTTACTATGAAGTGGTCATTTCCCACCCCCTGCATTGTATCATCAACAGTTAATAAATAGCTAGCAGTGAAGACAGTGGGAATCTTATCACATCAGTTCAGTGCACCAAGAAGTTCCACCTGAGCAAGATAGAAAATAACCTAGTTCCAAGAGTAGGTATAATGGTCACCGATTTCACTTCTTTTTTTTTTAATTAAACAACTTTAAAAGCCAGCTATGGCTATCTGTTTCCCAAAGCGTACAGTAGCTTCAGTCTCCATGATTATGATAATAGGTTATCCAGGGAACAATTATAAAAAGCACACAAGCCAAAGGTGATATTTCAAAATTGTATGGCCTTTCATAACTTAGCTGCCTTAACTATGGTTTTACGCAAATTCAAACATTTACTTCCTATTATTTTCACTGAAGTACACTATCACCCCCCGAAATGGCCTGTATTACTCTTACAGAGTAAAACATGCAACCACAAGATTCAATTCATTTCGGACACAGTCAAACTGGAGTTTTACTTAAGCCCTAATTAAACAGCTGCAACTCTTACTTTTCATCATATTAAGATCTATCAGGGAAATAATAATATAAGATTATATATGAGGCATGTATTTACCACTGACTTTAAAAAAAAAAAAAAAAACCCAAACAACAAAACAAAACCAAAACAAAGATAAAGGACTGGTGTTCAAGAGAACTGCCAATTTATTTTGATTAAAAATTCAACATAGATCAAGATTAAACTTAAGTAAGAGTAGTCTTCTGCCTACTGAAGGAACTAAATCTTCTCTTTGCTGCATTCACTTCAGTTTACTTGTATTGAAAAACATCGGTTTTAACATCAAAACAACAATAGAGAAGATATATTTGCTACTACACACTACAGCAACTTTGAAAAAAAAAATACTATAAAGAGATACAGTGAAAAACAAAAGTGAAAAGGAAAACTATCCAATGTTTTGTTGCTGGACATACCACAGTAAGATCATTACTTCCTGCAGTTTGAAGGAGGGTGTGCCTGCACAGGTGCTTTCCACTGTGACTAGCAGGTGTGGGATACAACAGCCAAATCACAGCCCTCCCTTTACTGTGGAATTATGGCTACTGGACCGAGGCACCAGGCAAGCCAGGGGGAGAAGCAGGAGGTTGCTTCATTGTTTTCAGTTAGGGGACTATAAAAAACTGCTCTCTTCTTCCAGGTGGCTGGTGTTATTCATGCCACAACCGCAGAAGATGAAAGCATAAAAGGATGCTTTATGATCCCTGCTAAAAACTGACAAATAAAATTACAAACAATGACAGCTGCTTCAAAGAAAAGGGTAAGAAACCTTGTGTTTTGGTTTTACACCAGCAGGGAGCAGTGGTTAACAGAAACAGTAAGATGCTTATTGCTTCCCAGTCTGTCTAGTGTTAGCAAATAAAGGATTCTCAAAATGGTTACAACAACACATTTAAAGATAGAGTTTGGTATGTTTCTTACATGCATCTACTAAAGAGGTCTGACTAGGTTAAGAATTGCTACGCATGTGTTAAAGGCTGACTCTGGCTATACCGCTTTTGCTGTGACATCTATCCATCAGTGTAAGGGAGAGGTTCCTGAAGTTAATAATTGAGTTAATTTATAAGCATGAATACAAAGGAGGCAAATTCATTCAAAATGTTCAATCTCTTGTTCAACAAACAGGACAAAAATATTCTTAATCATTTTAACACAGCACAATTTCATTAATTCATCGAGATTGGGGAAGACTGATTGCATACTTGGGGGATGGGAGAGAAAAGGGAAATTAACAACTAGCAAAGCAAATAAAACGAGCATAATATATTATTCACTTACTTCAGACTATAATTTTGCATCATGCTTAAGAATCCATATGTGTGATATTCTATTAAAGTAATAATGATCTTGTTTATATGAGAATTCACTAAAACCCCTATCTAGTTTTGGCACTAAGGGTCTGACAAGACTGCCAAATTTTTTGTGCAGATAAGAGCATTTAGTTAAATGACATTCTACTGTGTATAACAGCTCACATGGAGGAAAAAGGATCACTCACCACATTGTAATAGCTTTTGTTAATTGCAGATGTATCAAAGCCTTTAGGTGGACTCTTCAATGTACCTGATTTGGGGGAGACCGGTTTTTCTGAAATGTAAGACATTTTTGTGTCAACGGGGTGCAATTTCATAGCTCAACACTAGAGGTCAAACAAACTGCTTTAAAATATTTATCATAAGATATAGTGAAAATAGTGCTTCACTGAGAAACGTACATAATTGTGCTTGAAATTAAAGAATCAAAATGGTTCACATGTGCACAATGAATGAAACTCTAGCCTCAATGAAGGCAAGTAGGAAAACTCCCATTCTTTTTCCTGGAACCAGAAAGTCAGTTAATAAGGTTAGCTTTTCCAATATTATTTAAAACAAACAAACAAACAACTTTGTCACAGACTGCAATTAAAAACAAACAAACAAAAAAACCCCCCACACAACAGCCATTTCCAAACACTACATGCACTTTCAAACAAAAGTAGTATTAAGTTTTAACATCAATTTAATGAACTTGGTAAAAGCAAGAGACCAATCAAAGGCTGAACATACCAGAGGTGGAATGTTACACTCAGTCTGGTTGAAACAGAGAATCAAAACACCATACAAGTACTGAAGTGACTTACCAAATGCCTATCCCAGAAAATCATATTTTAAAACAAATTATATTTTACTGTTAATGAAGTAAAAAATAAAAGTGCTTATGCACTTGAGAACAGAGTCCATCGTAGCAATAAACGCAATCCTTCCTATAATCCCATAGTGAATCTACCCCTCAGTAACGCATGCTCTTCCTGGAAGGACAACGTAAGTCTGCAAGATCAAAACAGTCCTGAGTGCTATCTGAGTGCTGACTCCCAGAAGGGAAAGGCACAGAAAACACACTCCTAAAGCCTCCCCTCCCACCTCTATCATTCCTCTAAGTCAATCACAGAGGAGCAAAGATGAGGGGAGAAACATCAAAAGCATCATGCTGCATGATGGAGAAACAGAGGTAAGATTTACAGCGTCTCTTTTGGACCCCTCACACTTGACTTCGCACACAACCAACTGAGAATGCTTGTGAGACTGTATTTATCAGGACATTGTGGTGTTTTGGTTTGATTTTTTTAAATAAACAGGCTTGTCTAATATGCAAACTTCAAATAAGCATTTGAGTAATTTGCATCCAAACAATAAAATGGCAGACTGTCAGAAAAAAAACAAACCAAAACAAAAAAAAGCATCATCAAAACATACCTACTGAAAGTTTTACCTTTATTTTAAAAGCAAGCTCCTGTTTCAAATGCACTTTAATAAAGTTATATGAATAATTTAACTCTAGTTTACCTGATACCTCCGGCCACTAAGAATAAATTATGCAAGTCTCAAATACAGACCTGCCTTTCCAGGAGAAGCCCAGCCAGCCAAACTAAGGGCCAGCTACGGGAAATTCCCATGGACAGTAAAGCTGACCAGGGAAACACCACCATAAGCAGAGCAGCCCATGTGGTACCAGCCTCTGCTGGACTGTATCCTGGGTAATTTACTGCTTCTTCAGGCTGCCCAGTTGCAGCCTCAGGGATGTTGCAATCGCAGGCGAGCTGACTACAGATGCAGGCCACCCTTTCGTCTCCAGCGCCAGGAGCACTAGGCAGGCTGGCTGGACCCGAGGCTTTAGCCAGCAGCCCCTAAGGAGCAGCTCAGGCCCCAAGAGCAGACACGTGGTATCTTTGAGGGGATTTTCTCTGTATTGCACTGGAACTCTCCTCAAAGAAGCTACTCTAAAAATAAAATATGGTCTTAAAACTGCCAAACACGGGCAAAACATTTCTCCTTACCATGTTCAGAGATGACAGTAAAATCCTTTTAGTTAATATCCCCCGCCCGCCTCCTCAAGTCAGCTATAAGCCCGCAGACAGCACAAAACCCGTTAGCCCCAGCAGTTATTCAGCTGGGAACACTGATGCTCTCAGCCACCGGCCCTGCAGTACATACGTGATCTGCTATACAGCCAAGGAATTCCAAGTGACAGGGCTCCTCCCATCCCCTTAAAACAAAACCATAAACCCAAGCAGATTTGTCATTAAACACTCAATGTGAAAGAATCACCTGAAGTCATGTTGTACGTACAGCTACTCATTTATGTATTACGCTACTCATTCATGGGACAATTACAACTTGTTTCTTTGTACTGAATGATGAAAATGATGCAGTTTACACACACTTGGTAATTTGCTTTCATTCTCTGTGGAAGCTCTTGACTTATCCTAAAATTTAGCGACTTTCAGGTTCACTAAATACCTAAAGTATTTAGTACCTAAAATTAATCCCATGCCAAAAAGCATGAAAGGAGAAACCAGAGTCATTTAAGGAAAATGTAAACGCTTGATATTGAATTTTATTATAATACAGATGTCTGACCCTTGTTTATCTGGGAAAAGTTGGCTAGTCATAGAAACCTAGCTCATCTTCCAGCTACTTTGTTATCTTGAAGGGTGTAAAAACACATCTCTTCCCCTAACTTTTTCTTTTCCCTAAGCTGCTGAAGAAAGTGGCAGATTTTTTGCTGAAATATATAGAGTCATTTATATTACCAGCTGTTCAGCTGATTCAGTTATCCAGAGAGACACGATCAAATTCAGATTTAAAAACAGGACACAAAAAAGAATCACACATTCAAATAATTTTGTCTGAACAGCCATAATCAACATTCAGCTTTTAAAATGCAAAGGCCATTTCTACTGTAGAAACACAGAATTAGACAGAGCAAATCAGTCCAGCTGTCTATCACGTCTGGTATTCTGCCTCCAAGCACTGCCTTGCTTCATAAGGAGGAATAAGAAACAGTCTTGTTGCAATTAGCTTATTGCACAATGCATTACACAGAAGAAAATCCTGATCTTGCACATAAGAAATCTCTTTCTTAGCATAAACAAAGATAAGTGTTATTTATTATTATCCTTCATGAAAGATCATTAGAGTACTTTTGCAAACATATAGCATAATTCATTAAACATTTCAAGCAGGTGTCACCCCAATTCAGCATACTGGGAACACATAAAGGACTTTTAGGTCCATTGGTCTATGAAGTCCATAGGTTTTGAAAACAGCAAAACCCTAGCAACCTTGCCCACTCCAACATATAAGCTCTGTTTCTCAAAGCACTGGAAAAGAGCAACCTGAGCCAGACACCAAGTTTTCCCATATGGAAGATTCTTCCCTTCTCCCTACTTTTCTCCCAGTCCCAACGTAAGTCTGTTACATTAACACTGAAAACACAGTGAAAACATGTACAGCACACCATCAAATCCAAAGGAAACAAGCATCTGCTCAAGTACGGGAAGAGACCATATTCAGCTGATGACTGAAACCAAGATGTAAGTTACCGCTATCAGTTTCTTTCCTGACCAAAGCATTACATTCAGTTGCACCCAGCTACACTTGGCAATGCTTTGAAGTGGCTAGTGATTAAGCAGATAGAATTCACTTAACAGATCATCTCTGGGTGGAGAGGGAAGTTGGCACAGGCTTCTTAACATTATTCTTCCAGCAAATAATTATTCTCAGTAGAACCCAAAACAACTCAGAGTAGCTGCTTCTGTAACCTTTCCCTAAGCAGTACATAAGATGCCACGAACTGTCCAAAACTGTCTTATCCTTTACAAAAATCTACCTAAGTGACTGTAAAAGAACAATTTACCCAATCCTTCCCAATGTTTTGTTTCATTCTATTTTCATTAATATGCAAGTATTTCTTTTACTCGCCTTGAAATTACTTATTCTCACATGCCCTCCTATCTCTCTTCTGTCATGTCTCCAGTTTATGTCATATTCGTTTTCACGCAACAGTCTACTTCATGCTACTCCACAAAGCACTCCTTCAGGACATACTTCACTAAAGCATTTCAACTGCACTGCAAAATCAGCACCATGTGTTCCTATTACTAGGCTACGGCGTGTGTAACCTAGATGCAAAGATCTGATCCAGGCTATTCCCTCCTAGAGTAGGGGAGAAGAGATGTGCCAACTGGGACACCAAAAGCTATGTGGTCCCTATTAGTTAAGTGCTACAAGCAAGCTCTGTCTCTCAAGGCGAACTGGTTCAAGTCCAGCACCAGGAGGGCAGACCTAAACTTGTTCCCAGTTCTCAAGCTGGTTCAGGCATCACTGTAACTCCGCTCTGCAACATCGGCACTACGGACACTTCTTCCCTACTAGTATTCACTTGTCCCAGACTCTGTTCTGTTTATGCCTGTAGAGTAACACTTGACAAGAGAACAAAATGCCCCTCCAAGTGCACATGGTTGGGGAGAGGAAAGGTAGCATGCTTGGTGGGTTTTTCTTCTTTTTTTTTTTTTTCCTCCTTTTTTTCAAAGCTAAAAGCGTATCTGTCCTTCCCTCATGCACCACAGGATGGGAAAAGGAGATACTCTACTCTTCCACTATACACTGGCCTCTTCCCACACTGTGATTTTTTTTTTGGTTTTTAAATTTAACATCTAACCAGAAGAACCATTAACACTGTAATTTGCACTGGGCCTGATAACAACATAACTGTCAAGAAAGCATAACAGAAGAGAGGCTAGGACAGTAATGACATGTTAATTTCTACAATAGAAGAATTAGAATAAAGTTTGTGACACATCAAATGTCATTTTTCAAAGCTATATTCCCTTCAACATAATCTCATGCCATTTAAATGGATTACACTTTGATGAAACCCAGCAAGTGACCATGTGATTTTTATTGTTTTTTTAAATCTGATTAACATCTGACAGTAGCTAAGCAAGCACATCCCATTCCGGCTCACCCCTATTCTCTTTATCACAAAGGAACTCTCAAAACTAAGTCTCAAAATCTCTCTACTGTGCGACACAGAAGCAGCAGCGTAAGAGACAAGACTCCACTTACACCTTCACCCCTCCCTCCTCCGTTTTACCTAAGAAAAAAACTCCACAAGGCCACACTGTCAAATATCTAACAAGTTTACACAGTATAAGTGTTTTGCCCTCTGTCATGTGTAACTATGGCAGGATGAAAATAAAGTCCTCTTATTTCAAAGTACTTCCTGACAAGTGATCAAAGAACATTTAAAAAAAAAAAAAAAAAAGGCAAGACGTTACAGGGTTTAAAAAGAGAAATGAAAACACACGCACAGGGAAGGAGAGAGAAATGGACCATCTTTTTGAGCCTTACAGTGTAGGTACATACCTGAAAAGAAACTACTACTACATTTTTTTATTCTACTTGTAAGTGTGATCATAAGTACCCCAATTTCAAATAAATCCTCCTTTTCCCCTTGGGTCGGGAGGGTGGGGGAGGAAAGAAAATACACACTCAAAAGCAGAATAAAAAACATTTTGGGGAAAGAAATTTGGTTGAGATGGAAAAATACAGAGTCATTGTCCAGCGCAAGAAAACTAAATGCTGTGCTTGGCTCAATAATCTCAGTATCTGCCCTACAACCATTCATAGCTCACCTCACACATGTATTAGCATTCTTTGCTAACACTAATCATTCTGGCATAGCTAAGCCAACAAGTTACAACGTAGTAAACATGGGCAGAGCTTTGCGATATTTTAGCTACTCTGAGATACTTTATCATGTAACATGCCCTGCTTGTGCAATATACGTAATGTAGTTTACTTTTCTTCTAAAATCTTTAGGAAAGCAACGTGGGTAAAGGCAGTTCCCATTACTAAGCAGCTCTTTCTCCCTTTCCTTTAATATCTAACTTCAGAGCAACCGTACAAGCTAAGATTACAAATATACAGTTATCTGACATTAGAGGATTTTAATTTAGAACAAAAATACATTTATCTGAACATCTAATGCCTATGAATTTTGTGAGAATTAGAACAAAAACACGCATGCATAAAGAACTTTTCTTTTCTTCTGTTACCCAGTTTGATGAAGTCAGGTTCCAGCAGACTGAAGGAATTTATTTCATCAAACCTGCCAGTTCCCAAGAGCTCTCCAAATAACAAATCATCAAAAATGATAATGCACAATGTTGCCTGTACAGAATTTCTAACTAGTTGCAGTATTTTCAGCCACATTTGAGAGAAGAAAGAAGGGTGGAGTCATACTGTCGATGCCACAATATTTTACAGAGTATTTTGAAAACCAGTTAGATATCCAGGATGAACATTTTGTTCATAAAGAGACCTTAATCAAGAGCCAGTGTTAACAGTATTATCTTGATCTTTTTAAAATCAATTCATTGTAATGCTAACAGAAAACACATTTTGAATTTTAGCCTGCAAGACAGCAAGTTCTACTAACTCATTTTAAAATACATCAGGAAAAAACAGCACTTTTGTGTTTTAACCTCATGCTCAAACCTAGATGAAACTCCTCATGAACACCCCCCAGAGCCATTCATGTAACTTCAGAGCTTTGTGGCAGAGGGCACTGCATTCCTGTTTCAACAAGGACAGCAGAACAAAGGAAGTCCAACCTCAGGATGCAGTGGCAATGCACTTTGATACAGAAGGAAGGAGAATTACAGAAAAGCCCTCTCTAAAACTTTAAACAATACCCACAAAGCAGAAATCAGTTGAGAATAGAAATGTTCGTAACAAATTTCATGCAAACAACCAAGGGGTGGGGGGGAGAGCAGCAAAATGAGAATAATGAGCTTCAAGTAAGAAGAATTCAGTAAACTTAAAAATATGGGTAAAAAAAGGATTCCCACTAGTGACAATGGACAGGGAAAAGGCTCACAAGAATGACAAATCCTTTAAAAATCAGGGGCATCTCAAAAGTAAGGTTGCATTTACTTTTCCTTCTCAAAAGTAAATGCAAATTGACATGATCAAATATTACAAATACTACAGTGGCCTCAAACACACAAAAAAAGCAAAAGTAACTAGAAAAAGTCATGTCACCAGTTGAAATACAACTAACATGGACATAAGGGTAGTAGCAACAAAACATTCCATAGTATACATACATCAAGGGGGAAAGCTGATCTGCATCTCAATAGGGAAGAAGAGTTAACAACATATATCAGGAAGCTCATAAGAAGTCATGCTTCCTTCTACTACCCGCCCATCCTCATTATAAAAAGGTCAACTTCACAGAATTCAAACACATACCTACAAAGGCATAAAAGCAGGTTAAAACTAGTATTTTGATAAATGAAACAGTACCTGCTGTGCTGATTTGGCAGTAAGAGAACTAGCTACACCCATGTTTGAAACCACAGAGGAAAAGTGAAGTTCCATAAAGTACTGGAAAAGGTCAAACACAGTAACTGTCTTTAAAAAGGAGGAGAACAGAGAAAGCTAGAGAGCTACAGGCCAGTCATTTTAACTTTGTAATAGTCAGTAAATGCACAGAAAACAAAAGCAATGAACCTAACTTCCTGAGAAAGAGAAAAGCGTGGGCACATATTCCCTTCCATAGAAGCAACTGAGCGTATGAGAGAGTGCTCCAAGAATGCAAGAAGTCTTGCAGAAGCCAGAAGGAGCAAGCCCTTGTAGCACAGGGAACATACCTATACAGCAAAGGGAAAAGAAGAGCTTAGCAGAAAACTTCTTTGATGGTGAGAAGTGAAAGTTAAACCAGGGACTGGAAAGAATTCATCTCAGCCCCCAGGAATCAAACAGGGTTGCAAGGACTGGCAAGAATCAAACTGCACTTGGTACTAACCTCGGCCCCACAGCTTGTTGGCTTTCCTATTTAGGAGAGTTACTTCACCCAAGTGAAGTATTCTTAAAAAGACAACAACCACCTTAATTTCAGTTGCTGGCAACTTTTGGTTCTCGTATGTTCACTGTTAAAAGCTACTTCTATTCTGGAGCCTAACTGCTGACCCGGGTTCCAGTCTCCGGAGTCAGAAGAGATCAAAACTGACGAAATCCAAGCAAGACCTCTGCAGCAATGTTTTAAATGAATAATGATGAGACAAGATAGTCATCATGGCTGCAAGAGACTGCTACAACACTACAGACAAGAAAAAACAGGCTTCAGGAATTATTTTTTTTCAGGATAAGCTGCATCTGAGAGATCTCTGAAGAACATTAAAGCTAAGTCTCACATCATGACTATGCCTAAGAGGATCTAGTTGAAAATTACAACCAAGTTACAGATCTAAGACTCTAGTATTCTGTAAAAACGGACTGAGATAGCAAATCAAGGAAGAAAATAAGAAGATGCAACTGGAGGGGAAAGAATAAGTTTAAAAATAGGGTTTTAGCCTCACAACTTCAGTTTGCAATCATGCATCTGTAAGGCTGCCTAAAAAGAAAAAAAAAAAAAAAAAAAAAAAAAAAAAAAAAAAGAGTAATGGCAATGATTTTAGCATGGCCCAAAAGATGTGCGTTTTCATTGGAGCTGTGACAAAAGAAAGAGTGGTGAAGCCTCTCGGGGTCTCTGGGTAGTTTTATCCTACCAGGTTTATCCCCAGTCTCTGAAAGCAAGCAGAGACAGGGAAGAGACGGGGCGGGGGGAGGGGAAGAGAGAGAAGATGTCACCCATGTCAAGGTCCTGGTGGGTTAAAAAGCAACATTAGTTCTGATATTCAGTCAAAGATGACATTTACAGAAGACACTTTCACTGTATAAAGTTCAAAATAAAACTTCAGTGGAAGAGTGAAGCCTGTACAAAGAAATGCTGAAGGCATGTGAACAATAAAGGAAAAACCACAAATAGATTATCTTTCAAAAACTGTCTCTAACTTTTCGTAGATTTTGGTAGAATTGGGGATTTTTCCTGCGTTTGTTTGCTTCTAAGTAATGGGACATGTTTAGAGATTTTTTTGGTATAGTTTGTTGTTGGTTTTGGGGGGGTGGTTCTGGTTTTGTTGTTTTTAAAGCACCAATTCAAACTATGTCAGCATCAGAGCCAAAATCTAGCATTCTAGGAATTCAGAGCAGCCCAACTGTGACAGAGACAGACAGACAAGCAAACGGAATGGTGGAGTTTGCTGCATGCTTACTGTTCATTCAAAAGTCCTAGACCACTCTATATAGCGAACTGTGGTGAGGCAATATGAGTTCCTGAACATCAACGATTGCTGTGAATGAAGTTCAGTAAATACAGTCAAGCTTAAACAAAAAGCATTACAATTTTTAAAGAATCAACCAACTATCAACCTCTTCCCAAAGCAAGAATTTGTGCAAATATGCTCTCCTTCAAAACTCACCATTTGATTTTATTTCTCGTACATAGTTACTTGGAAACCACCCTGTTTTGCCATTTAGAGTTCCTTCCCACCAGCCTCCTTCTTCCACTCTTGTAACATGAATAATATCTCCTTTTGAAAAAGAAAGTTCATCTTCATTTGTCTGTTGAAAATTAAATTTTGCTCTCACCACCAACTGATGGTTGCTGTTATCTGTCATGTCCTAGTAAGCGAGAATACAAAGAACAAAAAGATCACGTTAGAGATTTAAATTATTCCATGAACAAAACAGAAGCACCCATAAAATGGAAATAGCCTCTCCTCCACACACAACACTCCCCACACATTTTTACCCTAAGCATTTGTAAGGGATTATTTCCTACTTCCAGTATTTCTGTCATTTTTAATCTATGGATTTGTATCAGTCCAGGGAGTATATCACCTTATTAGAGCCACTTCAAATCAGAAGGGGGTAATAGACCTAAAATGAGAATCATTCTTAATCCCCCCAAAAAATCAAATTCTATTTTCTGTATATAGTATAAATTGGAACTGCCTTTGGCAACTACAAAGAAACAACAGCTTTACATTAAGAGAGTTTTTACCTAAAACTTTCCAGGCTGGGAGGAAGGCGGAACTGAGTTGGGTTTAATTTAATTCTGGATATAAATAAAGAGTTTGCAGCTTAAAACTTTTTTTCCCCTGCAACAGATCAGGTTGGAAGTTTCCACACCTGAATGTGCAAGTCCCCACAGCCTGCCAATGGAGAAGGACAGTGTTCTTCCACAAAATCTACGGAACAGTTATGCAATTTACCTTGAATAAGTACTCACAAATCATTTGCCTGAAGTTTAGCAAAGCTGCAAGTCTGCAGCATGTCGGACTTGCAGCTGTCCACATATATATGTTCATCCCCTATCACAGATGTGAAGGCAGATTATCGCTCTATCGTAACAACTAAATGTTAATAGCTACTTTTTAGGAAGTCTTTCAAATTAACGATGTTCACAATTGGCATTTTGTTCTTGGATGTCAATTTTGGGTATCTGCATCATTTAAGCATTTCACGAGTTAGGACAAACTTTTATGCTAAAAAAGCTAAATAATTGGACAGCTTTAAATAATCCAAATACAAATCTACTGCACTGGAACTGAGAGAACAGGACTATAAATCATGTCTGTCTCTATCATAAGTAAGGATCAATACCTGTATTACTAAAAAAGTAACTTAGTGAGAAAATGACTGAGCAAGCAATACTAGTCAGCTATCCAGGTAGCAGAATTTCACCTACATGTTGTCTATATAGTTGAGATGATTAAAAGATGTACTGCGTAATGTCACTGGGATCATATAACATGTCAGCTTAATTCATATCCACAGCAATCATGTTATTGTATCACAACTCAATTTAACAATCAGACTTTTAGTGGCTGAGAAACTGTAGGAAAATGAAGGCAAACACAACTTTGAAAAGACACAGAAAGCCCCAAGATACTGCAAGTCACAATGTTCAATCAATAGATCGGCACATTTCAAACAAGTGGCTCTGCCTTAGTCCTCTGCTTGTACATCATGTGCTTTCATCCGCTATGACTGCTCAGAGAAAAAGGGTTGCCTTAGTAAGCAGTAAAAAGCCACAAAATAAGCAGCAACATAGCACAGTGACATCAACTACAGTCCCTTTACTCTGCCAGGATGGCTCTCCAGTAGATGAAACTGAGTACAAATTTGGTGAGAACAGTTCCAAACTGTTTGTCTACAGCAGCAAAACCAAATTAAGAATTTCCCAAGTTTGGCCACT